AAAAAAAAAAAAAGAAAAAAAAAAGAAATCTAAGGCCGAAGACAAAATTTTTAAGTGTCATAATTTTTTTCAAAGATTAATACTCATTGTTGTCCATATCCAGTTGTCCTGGCTTATTGCCAACAAAATTTCCCTTAGCCCCATGGGGCCTGAGATGTTCTAAGCTTTCAGAAGGACAGAAATAAATAAAAAATAAATAAGAGTATTTTTCCTAACAAACAGGAGAATCAACTGAAGTGGGCATATATGAACTATCTAGTTTCCCAATTACTGACAAATAATTTTAACCTTGGACTGCCCTCCTTGCTATCCAAGTACTGTATTACTTGGCCTCTGTATTAATTTTCTATTTGTTGATATAACAAACTACCACAAACATAGTGGCTTAAAACAATACAATTTTTTTCTCTGACAGTTCTGTAGGTCAGAAGCCCAATACCAGCTTACTATGACCTGGAGACTCTAGGGAAGAGTGTTTCCTGGTTTCATCCAGCTTCTAGAGGCGACCCATATTCCTTGGCTCATGGACGCCTTCCTCCATCTTCACAGTCAACAGCACAGCATCTCTCATATCATATCATAATGATGAGAGATGGTTTTGGGATGAAACTGTTCCACATCAGATCATCAGGCATTAGATTTTCATAGGTCACATGCAACCCCAGCATGTGCTCTTCACAGTAGGGTTCACGCTCCTGTGAGAATCCAATGCCATGCTGATCTGACAGAAGGCAGAGCTCAGGCAGTCATGCTTGCCTGCTGCTCACCTTGCACAGTGTGGCCAGGTTTCCAACAGGTCATGGACAGGCACCAGTCCTTGGCCTGGGGGTTGGGGAGTTTTGAGAACCATGTTTCTATCAGTTGTTATGGCCCACTATCTGCTCACTTGCTCTCTCCATTTGCATAGATAATTGACATTTGACATTTGGTAAGATTTTCTTTAGTTTCTCTTCTGGATAAACGTATCATTTTTGTATGTTTTGTGATACTTAGGACATAAAGATGTCATCCAAGCCAACAAGCCACGCTGGAGTACATGAAACTATACCCAGCCCTTACCCACCAAGCAGCTTTCTGGCTTCTGGATCTCAACAGCCTCTGGGTTCAATCAACTCGGAAAACCAAGCCCAGGATGCTCAGTATGCTCAGCCCTGCTCTACCAGATATCCAGAAACCTCTGCTGGCAGTCAACTGGGTCAAGGAAATACACGAATGATAAATTCAAGTATGGGAATGGCAGTAATAACCTTCAAAGAAGAAGCAAAGGCACTAGGGGTAAGTCTCTTTACTACCAGAATTTTAATTTCACATTTGTAAGGTCTTCTTATAAGTTATAGGAGAAAAGATATGATCCAATTGTTAAACGGTTCTGAATGTTATTCTAAAACTATCTCTTTTAGATAGAAATATTTAGTCTGCCTATAGACTTTCCCTTGAGTTCATTTTATTTTAGATCAAGCACAAATCTAACAGGAGACAGAGGAGCCTCCCAGCTGGAGGATTTGGTAATATTGACATGATGGAAGCACCACTACATCTAGCTTGATTTCATTTCTTCAAAAGACTTTTTGGACAATCTCAATCCCATCTCTAGATTTGTTACAAGCCTGGTATTTGCCTAAAGGTGAATTTACATAAAAATGAACACTGATGGCTACCCCCAAAAAAGGGAACTACAAATGGGTCTACTTCGCCTCTCTCAACAATACTCTTAGAGATGCTATGGCTTAACTGTCACCTCACTTCTACAAAGGGGACTCTGAACTGACTATGTTGTTTCTGTAGGCATCGCAAAAACAAAAATGCCCTACTTGTAAGAAAATTCCACCTGCCTAGGTAGAATTGTTAGTCCCTTTGCTGTGCTTTCCAAATAGCACAATGCCACCAAATTATATTAAGTCTCTCCCTGCGCATAGCTCCAACTTCCCTACTGGAGCATTCCGTAAATGGATGCTCACTATGTGCCAGAAACTCTTCTAACCATCTTACTACCTATTTCAAGTTTGGATGTTTTAGGGAAGTAAAAATGAGCATAAGTTCTCCTGCAGCAGACTATTTACCAAGCTGTGGAGGCGGCCCTTCTCATCCTCCTCCTCCCAGATAGAGAAAATCCCCTGTTCCTAATAAGCCAATGAGACAAACTAACACCCCCCCACCCCGCATACAGCCAACTCCACACAGGTGCCTGGACTATCACTGAGCACAAAGCAGGTGCAATCTCTGCCCTTACAGCCTAGTGTGGGAAATCAGACTGTACACATAATGAAGAAGTAAAGTACATAGTGTGTTAGAAGGTGGCAAACGATATAGAGAAAATGAAGAAGTGTAAAAGGGCTAACAAGTACCAGGCAGTGAGGAGGCAGCAATTTCAAAGTAGTGAGGACGGGCTTTCCTTAGAACATGACATTTGAGCCAAAACCTGAAGTTAGGAGTGAGCCCTGCAGATATCAGAGAAAGGGAAAACACCCAGTGTAAAAGTCTTTAGATGAAAATGTGTGTGATATATTTAAAGAACAGGGAAGAGGCTAATAAAATAGAACAGAATGAGCGAGGGAGGGAGCAGTTGTCAGGAGGGCAGAGGACTGGCAGAGGCCACACCTGGTGAGGCCTGCAGAGCAGAAGGCTTTGGCTTTGACTGAGTGAATCAGGAGCCACTGAAGCATGCTGCCTGGTACCAGAAATATTTTAAAGTATTTCAAATACTTTAAAAGGATGCGAAGTTTTGCTTTCAAAAGCTCCAGTTGGCAAAGCTACTTCCTCTCTCGGAAGATTGTTATTTCTATGCCATCAGCAGGCCCCAGGCATCACGACAGTGCCAGGGCCACAGGTAGCAGGACATGGCACATCTGTACCAGTCAACTCAGACCTTAAAGTGCTTCTGTGGCCAAAAATGCACACAAATTGAATGTCCAAATGTTAAAGTCTGTCCCATAGGCAATGTTGATCTAGCAAATGGTACCACCAGGGCTGCAGGTAGAGAAACGAGGACCAGTACAAATTCAGATCTAACTGACCCTCATCAAGATGACAGCAAGGACAAGGATGGAAAGTTTGTGGCCAGATGGCTAAACTGCTGCTCTACAGAAGAGTTGTAGAAACCAAATATGAAGTCTAATGCAGGAGCTATTTAAGTGGGATTAGCTAAAGGAGGCCCATCATCTTTCCGAAGCTATATGCAAAAATACGGTATGTGTGTGTGTGAATGTGCAAGAATAATTTTTAAGGGGGAAAGGTTCATGGTGTTTATCAAAGTCTCAAGAAACTTTTAGCATTGTTTATGCAACTGGGTTTTTTTCTAATTTTAATTTATTTGTATTCAGAAGCTATTTATTAAAGAAATAAATACAGCAGTCTTTGTATTTACAGTTTTCCTAGACAGATAAGATGTAAACATGGGGAAAAATAAATTACACATCTGCAGTCAACTTTTGGATCAATCTAGAAATGGGTTTTCCTCAGAAATCTATCTTTATTTACAATGAAGGGAGGTGCAATAAGAGGTATAAAGAGCTGAAAGATGTATACCTTACTTTTAGTAATATATATTTGGTAAGAAGAACGATTGGTAAGAAACTTATTTTGTTCTTGGTAAGAAAATTATATTGTTCTTTTTTTAAAGGTGCATAAACAATATAAATGAGTGTACAAAATCAAGTAATAAAGTTTGTTTTCTGTCATGAGATGCAACAGAAATTTAGAAAAAAAGAAAAAAGATTAATTGGGTGTAATCTCGAAGACTTCATGGAAAAGGCAGAGCAGAGCTGAGCATGAGGGAAGACAGTACTGAATAGCTGAGACTGGCTCAGGAGTCAACGTGTTGCAGGAAATTGCCAGATCTGCCCCTTAGGGATTGTGACCTTGGATACCTGATTTCTTTATGTCTCTGTGACTCAGTCCAGTTATCGGAAGATTACATGAAACAATAAATGTAAAGTGTTCAGAACATGACCAAGCACATAATTCATGTCGGATAAATGATTGTATTGCCACCAATTCCTTTACCCATAACTGAGATGACTCAAGCAGAGAACTGATCCATCTGAAAAAGCAGCTACGGACACCACAGCTAAAGTATTTTTTTTCTAAGAGTCCTTTAGAGGCCCTCAGAGATGCTAACGCATGATTAAGCTGCTGTACTTTCTGAAGAATTCTTCCTGGGCCACCTCCTGCTTCAGATGCGTGCCTGAATGACAACCATGGGTCTCCGCAAAGCTGACAATAAATAAGCAGGAGCAGCGATGACAGTAATGTTTCACACGTCTGAAAGTGAAGAAGTAATTTTAAAATGTCTTTTTTCTTTTTTCAGGTAATCCAGATCATGATTGGACTGATGCACCTTGGTTTTGGAATTATTTTGGGTTTAATAAGCTTCCTTTATAAAAGCAATTTAAGTTTTCTTTCTTTGGCTTTTGTTGGTGGATACCCATTCTGGGGTGGCCTTTCTGTGAGTAGTTTGCTGGAACACCTCTCCTTCTTGGTTTACAAAGTATTGATATCTCCAGCCAATTCACAACTCATTTCTCAATAAAGCCCTATAACTGAGGGCTAGAGAATGTCAAAACAATTAACAGCTCTGAATGAGCATAACAAATAGGGAATTTATTCCCCATTTTACCTAGGAGCTTATCCCATTCTTAAAAATTTACTCTAATCATGTAATCAGCAAGCCAAAGTTTTGGTTTCCATTACATTTGAGATGGAAATGTATATGTTGTGGGATGAGTGACAAAAAAATAAAAATAAAAATAAAAAGGTGGTTGGAAACATGATTTAAAATATGCAAGTAAGCCAGGCATGGTGGTGCATGCATGTAGTCCAATTTACTTGGGAGGTTGAGGCAGGTGAATTGCTTGAGCTCAAGAAATTGAGGCCAGCCTGGGCAATATAGTGAGACCCTATCTCTAAAAAAAAATTTTTTTTTTTTGAGACGAAGTTTCACTCATGTTACCCAGGCTGGAGTGCAATGGCGTGATCTCGGCTCACCGCAACCTCCGCCTCCTGGGTTCAGGCAATTCTCCTGCTTCAGCCTCCTGAGTAGCTGGGATTACAGGCACACACCACCATGCCCAGCTAATTTTTTGTATTTTTAGTAGAGACGGGGTTTCACCATGTTGACCAGGATGGTCTCGATCTCTTGACCTCGTGATCCACCCTCCTCGGCCTCCCAAAGTGCTGGGATTACAGGCTTGAGCCACCACGCCCGGCCTAAAAAAATTGTTTTAATAAAAAAATGCAATTGATTATGAGAAGGAATTGAGCAGTAAGCCTCAGAACAAGGAATGCTTACACATTTCTTCTTAGGCCAGAAACTAAGGAGAACAAAATAAAAAAGAAGTCAAGGACGTATGCCTGAGAGTTACTCCAGAAAATTCAGAAGTGTGAGAGAAAATTTTGAGAAGGAAACGAGATGAACATAAATAGACTAACCTTTCATATAAAGATAAATTCCCAAGCACAACCAGTTAACCCATTTCACAAAAAATTTGTTCATTTCCACAGTTCATTATCTCTGGCTCTCTCTCTATATTAGCACCCAAGGAGCTTTCTCCTTTTCTGGTAAGTTAGACTGTTTCTACTTTTTGAATCCCTTTAAAGATTAGCTTCATATATTGGGGAGGAAAATTGAAAAGTTGGATTTGGGAAATGCAAAAGGGAGCAGTTTCCCCAAAAAAATCTATTGGTTGCCTCATGGTCTGAGTGATGAGGTGGGAGAGTGGTCTACACAGTTTGCCACTAAGAAATGGCAGAGCTCAACATCCCGACCCTTGAACACACAAGGCTGAGAAACAGTAAAGATTAGGATTCTTTAAGCTTTAACCTAAATGCTCCCTGGCTCAGTCAGGTCACGCTACATTACAGGAAGTCCAAAGAAGAATCCAGGAGCCAGGAAATACCTGCTTGCCACATCAGTCACAACGCCTCTACTGTTTATCTGTCACTTCTCAGCTCTGTCTTGTATTACTTTTTTTTTTTTCATTTGTGTATCTTTCCTACTCTTTCTCAGATTGGGTGTGTGTTTTACAACAATTCTTTAAATTGCCATTAAATGAGTCTAACTTGTCCCATAAAAATTGTTCATAAAAATGATCAGTAAGATGGGACTTTCAGTTCTCTCAGTCACAGCACCCCACCTATTGCAATTTCCTGGTCTACTATTGAACCAGGAAGAAGAAAGTGATTTACCAAGAACTAGAGTCAACTAGAGCAGAGGTGGTTCCAAGATTATATGTAATCCAGCACAAGAGGAAAGAGCAGGGAAGAAGGAACACAGAATCGTGTAGGTCGTGCTGTTGCAGACAAAACAAGAATAAAATAATGAAATCAAATTGAAATAAAATAAGCCTAATTATGATTAATCCCTCCTGTTGTGGTCCAAAAACAAAATAAAGCATCCTTCCCCTGCATCCTTTACGGATCCTTCCCTCTGAGATTGTCCAAGCATAGAATCCAACCTCTTAGAGGAGACAACCACTGACACTTACCTAAGACAATTTTTCTAAGAGCTTTGAGAGGCATTCAGGAGACTCTAAGGCATGCTGCAGCACAAGCACCTTCTAAAGAACTCGACTGTGCCACCCCTAGCAAGTCAGCTGAGGACTTAGTTTCACAATTATTCTTCTGCTTGTCAAAATCCTATTGCAGAAACTGGGGAAAGTTTTGTAGTTGCCCATACACCTCTGCCCACAAAAGCCTAAAGAGCTTCTCCTTCTAAATTCAGGGATTCATATTTAGCCCCTAGAGAGACTTAGGGTTTTCATTAATTCCAGAATTTTTCAGCAAACATGCTGTGTCTAAATACTTCCCCACCTTTGAAATCAGATGCTATCGTACTACCTCATACAATGGCTGTAAGAGTTAAATGAGATCATTTAAATAGTTTAACACAATGTCTGCCACAGAAAAATGCTCATTAGAGATTTGTTTTTTCATTTTTCTCTTAAAGAAAATATGGTTGTTATTGTGCATGAGGCTTTTAGAAAAATACAATAGATGAGAGGCTGCTTTATATGATTTACATTTTTCTACAGCTTTTTAGAAGTACCTTACATCTAGGCTGCATACAGAATAATGTTTATGGTAATTACTAAGAAGAGCAGAAAACAGAATCATTTCAACTTGAAAACTTATTTCGAAATTTTAAAAAATAAGAACCATGAAATTTGATTGATTGTTATTTCACTTAACTTCATTGATCCTATACGTAATTGACTTTTTTCTGCCACCTCCATTAGCTGAGAAGCAGCCTGGGAATGAACATTACTAGTTCTATCTTTGCCTTCATTGGAGTGATTCTGCTGCTGACAGACATGTGCATCAATGGGGGATATTACCAAGATTACTGGGCCGTGGTAAGTATCCCATAATCCACCATCTGCCTGCTCTCTTTTCAGTCCTATAAATTGGGTCTATTTTTTATCTCTTAATACTGTACACCAGCTCTTTTGGAAAATCTTTTTTCTATTCTAGCCACATCCCTAGTCGTATGACCTCTAGGTCTATAGAATAAAGTGAGAGGGTTACCTCTACAGATAGACCAAGGTTTAACGGACATCCCTTATTGGCCCATCTCACTGTCAATCACATGAACAATGGGAAAGGATTTGGATAGGCCTCTATGGCTTCTAAAATTGTCCAAAAATTATTTTCCCAGCATTGGAAATTCTATATAAATAAGGCAGTCAAGTTATTGGTTTTTTTTTTTTTAATTTCAGAGTAAAATATGAAGTGAGAGGTAAATGACAGGGATAAGAACATCCAATTTTTACAAAGAAACCCAAGTAATGAAAAGTACATGCCTCTGAATGTGCTCTAAATCACACATTCATTAGCCTTATATAGCCATGCATGGAGACTCTGATCTTAGGAGGAAAGGGTAGCCTGAAGGCAGGGATACGTAAATTAGCATCCATAAGAAATGGAGGAACGTGGTATAAAATGAGGTTGGACTGGAAGCTCCATCCTACTTCAACGGCCATGTTAACAGTTTTGGTTTTTATTCTGTGAGCAATGGAAAACCACAAAAGAGTGGTTTTATTGGTTTTGTTTTATTTTGCGTTGGGGTTGGTTTTGCTTTTGCTTTTCAATTTAAATGACTGTGGGCTACATGCATCTTAAGAAAGACACGGAATGACTTCCTTATATATCTAGAAAATATTAACATTAAGACAATTATCGCAATATTTTGAACAAATAACAACAATAACATTTTCCTTATCAGTTCACTCAGTACTGTGTAAGTAATTCTGTTCCACTGGATCTCAGAGTGGCAGGCTTATGAAGCCATCTGCTTCTCAGCTAAAGGATTCTGAAATCCTGACTCCAACCACTGGTATGATCTGACTCACTGCTATCAGATGCCTGTCCCCTAGAACATGTTGTTGGAAGTGTCAATAGTTTGAACTGCTGGCACACTCATTTTCCACCAAGCTCCTTTGTTAAAAACATAGTAGAATTCTAGGCAGGGAATTTGAATGATCACTTTTGTGCTTGGAAAGGACAACGCTGCAGTGTAAGGAAAAGCTTATATAAGAAGGTGTATTAGTTTGTTTTCACACTGCTGATAAATACCTGAGACTGGGAAGGAAAATAGGTGTAACGGACTTACGGTTCCACATGGCTGGGGAGGCCTCATAATCGTGGCGGAACACAAGAAGGAGCAAGTCATGTCTTACATGAATGGGGAAGGCAAAAAAAGAGCTTGTGCAGGGCAATTCCTGTTTTTTCAAAACCATCAGGTCTCATGAGACCCATTCACTATCACAAAAACAGCACAAGAAAGACCAACCCCCATAATTCAATCATCTCCCACCAGGTCAGGTTTCTCTCACAACACGTGGGAATTATGGGTGCTACAAGAAGAGATTTGGGTGGGGACACAAAGCCAAACCATATCAGGAGGCAAAAATAGATGAGAAAGCTCCTTGGTTAAAAAAAAAAAAAGAATGAAGCAAGAGTAAAAAGTAAAATTCATCCTCTAAAATACCAAACAAAAGAACAAAAATTATTCAAAAAAAAACACAGCTTTTAAACTGGCATCCAAGTAGAGAAACAAATCACTCTGATGCTACTCAAAGTAGCAGAAAAAAAGCACAGCTTTTAGGTCTGGCTCTTATTTCCTTAGAAACAAAACTGAGGCAAGAAGGAAGGGAAGCTAAAAAATACTGAGAGGTCTCACTAGCACTCTCCAGTCTGTAGCTAAGAAGGCTGGAGTGGACAGCAGTCAATTCTGAGAAAGGATAAAGCAAATCCTGTATTGTACAAGACCATGGGTAGTACCCAAGACCTCAAGAGACAGAAGAAATGGCAACACCTTCCAGTACTCTGCATGGTACTCTGCTACCAGCAAGGAAAGAGCAGAAATACACGGAACAGAATAAACCTCTAGCCATGGAGCAGGCCTCCGTACTAAGCATTTAGCAGATTCTCAGAAGACAGAAAAAAACAAAGTCCATGTTCACTAGCAAGAACTGTGATCAGGGCCAGCTAAGCTCTCTCTCTCCCTGAAACAGCTATATGTTCACATGCAGAAACATGGATATAAAACAACAGCTAGGGCTCAAGTTGTAGATGGAAACATGAAGACAAATGGGACCCAAATAAACAGAAGTATGAGCAAAGGAAAATTGGCCTACACTGTATCTGGTCAAATAGAAGGCTTGTATAGAGCTCAAGTGAGTTTAACACTTCTATTTAAAATAGAAATAACATGATTCCATTTTTATAAAATGATGCTCCTCTCTCTTGGTTATTCTCTTTTATCCCGTCTCTCATGGCATCTTTTCAAGCATCCATTCTTCTGCCTTTTCCCAATACACAGAGAGCTAGAAGAATAGTCATCAAACATTAACTGTGGTTGTTTCTAAGCAGTGACATATGGAATGATCAGCTGGTTCTATATTGCTTGAATTTTTTAATGAGTAGAAACATTTTTATTAAAAAAAAATGAGGTCATCACAAAGGAAAAAAACTACCTTCTTTCTAATTTCTGAACAAAATAGTCTACTTGCCAAAAGGAAAGATCTCTGGCATTTTAAAGAAATTCCAAAGTAAATTTACATTTTTCTGAAACAAGCATTTGATGATAATGGAAGAATAATCATGGAGCGAGTTGAGTATAAGCAGTAGCACATTTGATGAGTCAATAACTTTTTGAAGCCCACATGAGGCCCTCCTGATTAGCCAGAATTTCACTGTTTACTTACTATTTCAGCTTTCTGGAAAAGGCATTTCAGCCATGCTGATGATCTTCTCCCTCTTGGAGTTCTTCACAGCTTGTGTCACAGCACATTTTGCCTACCAAACAATCACCATCACCAACATGGTGAGTTGGCTCTCTTCTTTGTAAAACTATCTGAAAATGCCCTGGAGAAATACAGACTTGTGTTGGCTAAATCCTAATATGGGCTTACCAGAATGCTCTTTGTCCTTGACTATGATGGTACCAGGGGAAATCGTGTAGGACTGTAGTAACCACATTGCCTATTTTTATTCATTCCTTCCAGTCTGTCCTGGCTGCTCCAACTGTGTATGCAAACAACCCTTTTACACCAGAGTCTTCTTCAGCTCCTCCTAGATACAACGACTACTCAACTTATCCCCCTAGATATTAAAAGAAAAAGGGGCATCAGTCTAATTTCATGGGGGAAAACTACTTGCACAAACTTCTTAAGAAGGTGTCTTTTATTGTTCACAATGATTTCTAGACTTTAAAGACTGTGTTTGAGATTTGTTTTTAGGTTGGTCGCTGATAGCTCTGTCTCCCCTCTCGCTGTCTTCCTACATTACCACTACTACATGCTGGCAAAGGTGAGGGACCAGAGAGGAATGAAGAATGATTCAGCAGCTCAAAAGTTACACATTTTTCTGTTCATGTTACTTTTTCCTTAATAAAATGTCATTAGAAACAAAAGCCTTTTTCAGTATGTTTTAAAATTTGATTTTGGTTTTATATTGGTTGTGGAGTAGTAGATCTGACCTATGCTCCAAGAAGATTGATAAACCTTCTTTGATGATGATTTTTCTAGGTGTCCAGTCACTGGAGTTCCCTAATTTATCTCCTCATCTTTCTGTTCAGAAAGCAAATGTCCAATTGCCCTTGTTGGAGGTTACATTATTTTATACATTAATATCATCAAACATCATGCCTCTTAAATAACTACAAAATGTTGCTACTTACAGAGTATTTTCATGTACATTAAACTCACCTGCAATAGGACAACAGTAAGACAAGGATGCTGCATAGAGGGGTTTTCATTTGAGTTTTGGCTTTTTGTTTTTGAATTGTGGGCACATTTAAAAGCCAATTAGAACAATCAAGGTAAGAGAGAAGGGATGAATGACATTGTAAGTTTTAATAAATCAAAAGTACAGATGGAAAACATCACCTAAGTCATGAGATTTTCACAGATATCCACAGATTTGCAACAATGGTAGTGAGTACATAAGGAGGATCTGATATGATGGCTCACATCATCCCTGTCAAAGTAGTGGTGACATCATGCCAAAGTAGGGGCATAAGTAGAGTCAGAATATTGAACAGAATGGTAACATGGGAAAAGTCGTGGACCTGGAGAATAAAGTGATCAGAGCAACAGGATTGCCAAGCTGTGTGGAGGGCACATTTGAGGATCTGGTAACAAATTTGGAGTATGAACAAATTGCTCCAGCAAGGGCTTGCTGCTAGATTGAGGCAAACTATGGGTCCAGGGAAACTATCTGTTTGATTTCATCCATGGTTAAGATTTTGCTAGAGGAGATGACAAAATAGCAGAAGGGCAAGAAAGCTTAGGGCATTGTAAAAAATATTTTTAAAATGATGGATTGTGGAATCCAAACTGGATAAGGAAGGAATAATAGTAATAATAATAGCAATAATAAAGAAAAAAGACAGATTGATCAAAAATGGAGAAATCTGCCTTTTCTCCAGGAGCTGTTGTGAGATCAAATGAGATTCTGTTATATGAATACAGTTTGAAAATAGCAAAGTATTGTCCCTTTTTGAAATTGTAATATTATTAAAGAAGCCAGAAGAGAAAAAAATATAGACAAAAAGAGTAGGCAGAGAAATCAAAATAAGGAAAGAGGCTGAATGAGAAAAGAATTTTTGCATCGGGGAAAGCAGATGTATTATATCAGGTGAGAGCCACATATTTCAATGTCATTGGCCTGCCTGGGTCCCAGCTATTCAGCAACTTGGGTGATTAGAAATGCTGTTTTCTTCATCATGAAGCTCAACAGCTCAGCAAAAGTGAAGACATAAATTTCATGATCTGAGGGTCTAGGAAATAAATGGTGCCCCCAAAATGTGTGAGGGGTGGTATATTATATATCTATACATGTAAAATAAACAAATATAAAAGTAACTTACTTTAGGGAACAGAAAAGCATTTCCAGCAAAGTTCATTTTTTAAATAAATTTCTATCAAATATATTCTATTTTTCAATTTGCTTTAGTAATAGTAATAATAACAGCATATATTTAGCCCATTCTTTGCACCATTCACATCCCAAGCACTATTTCAGTGCTCACAATGACCACCTGTGAGGCAGAAACTATTATTAGGATCATTTTCAGATGAAAAAGCTTTGGTAGAGAGGTTAAAAATCTTGCCCTAATATACGTAGCTAGCAAATGGTGAAGCATGGATTTGAACCCAGGCAATAGGGCTCCGAGATCCAGACAGTTGCCCTAACCATTATTCCCACTATTCTTATGGTCTTGGATAGAATCAGACATTTGTAACTCAAAAACAAACAGAAATGCTTCTTTATAGTAAGCTTGTAATAAATTTGGAAGAAATTGTCTCATTCGCTGATAGGACAGAGGAGATTTAGTAATATAATAATACAGTTGACCATTAACATGAGTTTGAACCACGTGGCTCCACTTTTATGCATGTTTTTTCAATGCGGGTAAAGTTGTGGAAATGAAGAATAAACTGATCAGAGAAACAGAGGACTGCCAAGCTATACTGAAGAATACATTTGAGGGGATGTTAACAAATATATACTATGAACAAATTTCTCCAGCTGGACCTGTGATCTAAGATCCTAGAAGGTAACTGGAATAAAAATATTATATAGCAACATAAAGGTCACATGCTTGCTATTATTTAAAGGCTTTATGGTATTTTCATTCTGGAGAATCTTTTAAAAATGTTTATTTATTCATTCATTTGCTTAAAAAGAAATATTACACTACTACTTTGTGATTTTAAAAAAACTTCTGCTATTACATAAAATTTAGGCTTTATATGTTTTTTTCATATAGGGTAATATAAAATGAAGTATAGTAGGATTTATCTAAATGTCAGTGAACATATGCTTTTTTCATGCACAAGTAATTAATGCTGGATTTGTATACAAAGACTTTGCCTGCGAAATATAACTTAAGCTACTTAATTTAGTATTTAGTCTCTTCCCTCCTCAGAAGAACACAAATCATTATTACATCTCTAGGACTCTAGGGTGTCTTCTAATTCTAAATTCTAAGGCTTTAGAGAAGGTCGATCATTCACCATGAAATACATGGTCAGAATGATCTTTCAAGAGTCTATAAATGTATCTTAGATAAACATGTGTCATTGATTCATGCCTGGTCAAAACAACATTTCTGAATGCTGTCTTTCCCAGAGCATGTTTGCACTTGTCAGGACCCTTTAATAATCAATTACAATTGTCCCCTTTTCCCACAGAGCAGATGCTGGCCAAACCTACCCTGAATTTGGACAACTGGGGGTAGGGTGCAGAGTCCCTAGGCATCTTTTTGCAGGGGTGATTTGCATCAAGGAAAAGATGCCACAGAAATTTTGAGTTCAGGTATCTGACCCTCAAGCTGAAAGATCAGAGCCCAGCTGCCAGCCTCACCTCAGTGGGAGAAAGGGCTATGCTCCTCATTTTTGTGCATGGATTATAACCAGGCTCCTCCTCTGTAAGGAAGACTAAAGAAAATGCAAGGCTGTTTGAACACCTCCAAGGCTCTGGTGCTTAGGGAGCCCTGGGAGACAGCACCTGTGGTAAGGCAGCCTTCTTTTGCAGCAAAGCCTGAGAAGACTACAAAGTATCTGAAAAGTGGCTTCCCCCTACACACAGCAACAGCTCAGCTCAGGCTTGCTGGAGAGCAAATGTGAAAATTCTGGGGACTCCCAGAAATACTCTGGAAGTGGGGATTTGAAGAGAACAGGGGTCATTCTTCAACGGACAGGGATGGAAACCAGGCCAATTGGGCCATACAGTTAATATGTCCTGTTAATTCCCACAGGTTGGAGAGGTCTTGGATACCAGTGGTTTCCAAAAGTTGACTGATTTCTTTTTCTCATTTGCATTTAAAAAAACAAGAAAATTTATAATTTATAACTGTTCTCTCTTTTCTCCTAGCTCTCCCCGTCTCCCTCAGTTCCCTGGCTTCACTCTTAAAAACAAATCACTGTTACTAAATTCTGGCAGTTCAGCAGTGCTCAAGGGGCTTCATTCAATCTCTGTCTCCATACACACTTCCCAGGGGTCTCCATTTGGTTTAGACCTCATGCAAAATTTCACTTTATATTTCACAACTCCTTCTATTCTCCCAAGTATTTGGCAACGCTTTAGAATACGGTATGGACTTTTAGGCCAAATGTCATTTCATGCATTCAAACAATGCTACAATGTGTACTTCAGGAACCTAGCTTTACAGGGGAGAAATGAAGTCAAAAAGCAGAGAGTGGAATACACCTAGCCAGAACTGGAGCTGGAAACCATCCCTAGACCTTGTGATTTCTTCAACAACATTCTTTTTGCAATTGACAGTCACAGCACAGAGCTCTTTCTGAAGGAGGCTTGGAGGAAGAAAACAGGGCAGGAGGATAGGCTACAGATTCTGGAGCTAGATTTAGACTGCTGGAGTTAGAACCTCAACTCTTAACATTTATAGGCTGTGTGACTCTTAAACTTCGCCAAACCTCAGCATTCTCTTCTGTTAAAATGAAAATATCAGTGGTATGTACATCATAGGCATGTGGTGAAGTTTAAATAAAATAAGCAATATAAGGCAATTAACATATTGCCTCAACATAGTAAATGCAAGGGAAAAAGCAAGATAAGTTTAAACTATTAATTAGCATTTTACTACAGAATAGTATATAAGTTCTACAGTAAACATATGAAAACTGAAATCTCTCTCTATATATATGTGTGTACCTGCATGTTTATACACATATACATATAGATTAGACTTTACATAAATATACAGAGGTATAGATACTGCTTTTCTACAATGAATTCAACTGTTTAGTTTCCTAGGTTTGCATAATTTCCATTTTTCTTTACTAGAACACCCTGGAGTTTACATGGAGGAAACATCTGTTTTCTCTAGTGTATAAATAAATAAAATTCCTCAAAGAAATATGGACAAGTTATTTTATAAGGGCTCACAGCCAACAGGGTCCTTGTAATAATCCCCAACAATGCTTTTAACAACATTATATAGGAATTGTAGTTCCAGCACATTTTCCCTAATGTCTTTTGTATACTGGGAACCAATTCAAGAGAAATTAACAATATGATCCACATGAAGAAATAAGTCACATTGGATGTCAAACCATGACTGATTGATTGCTTCTTCATTGCTGAAGAATACAGTGTTTTTAACAACCAAAGGATAAAAATTAAAATGAATTCTGAATTTCCAAATCCAGTTTACAGGTACTGAGAAAATCAATGGTGCTTTTACTGGTCTGTAATATTACCAAAAGAAATAAGATATGCCGAGGAACCGGGCCTGTCTCATAGTTTGGCTCACTCTTCTATATTTTCCTATGTTTATACTGAATACACATTTTGGCCCTGGTCCAAAAAAAAAAAAAATCAAATCCATGATAATTTCCAGAGACTGTTGGCCAAACCTTAAATGAAGAAACATGTCACTTCTCT